TTTAAAAATAAATAATAATAATAAAAATAAAATTGAAATTTATCAAGATATTTACCTAACAATATAATAAGAAAATTTTAAAAATAAGTTCGTTAAAAATTATTTGTATACTTAAAACAAAGTGCTAAATAAATTGAAAAAAAATGCTTTTAAAACAACGCTATTTTTTATCATTATTATTTCACTTAAATAATTAAGTTAAATTGAATAATTAGCAAATTCTGAACGAAAAAACAAAGTAAGGTTTAATTTATTAAAAACAAAAACAAAGGAATTATGATATTCGATAATATATTTATCTGACAATATTGAAAGAAAATTAAAAAACATGGTCATACTCTTTAAAAAACAAAGTGCTAAATGATTTTTAAAAAAAAATATCGCAAACCTTACTAAATTTTTTTTGAATAAACAAAGTTGATTGACTTATGTCCAAATCCAAAAGAGGAAAAATAAGTTTCGTTATAATTTTATTTATAAAAATAAAAATAACTAAATATTTATAAATTTAAAATCAGTAATAAAAACCCATTAAATTATTAGAAGTTTTGTTCAAAAAGTTTTTAATAAATTAAAATAAAGTAAAAAATAGCCTAACAAATTTAATTACCTTGTAATGTAATTCTTTATGGGCACCTTAAATTAGATTTACGATTGTAATAAATTCAATAATGTAAAATAATTACTCAAACATATAATATCAAAATTAATTTTCACATTTAAAAATAAAAATAAAAGTTTTGTTTAAACAAAAAAAAAATTACCTACAGTGAACTCTCACTTATGCACCGGTGTAAGGGACCAAGAGAAAAAGGCGCATAAGTGAAAGAGGCGCATAAATGAAAATCTTCAAAATTCTAAAACGCAACGTAAATTGCAGTGACAATATGAATAAATATGTTTCTAAAGATTTAATGTTAATATTTATACTGTTTTGGTATTTACTATAATTATACAAAGAAAAAATTTAACATACCTTAAGACAATTTATTTTCTTACAAAATAATCTTAATACATGTTTGTATTTGTTTTTGCCGACGTTATTCAAAAACAGTTTTTTCCAGTTCATATAAATGGGATAAGGGGGAGCTTCAGAAGCAAAATTAAATTGTAAATAGTCAGGAATAGTGTCTAAAGCTTTCAATACTGCTGTGTGATTTAGCGGAACTTTATCATCTCGTCAGTATCATCCACCACGTTCTCATCATTCACAAGTTTTAATTAGATATAAATGAACAATTCTTCACTTAGTTTTATGGGAGGGTTGAAACATCACATGATAAATTTCTAAGAAAAGTACTTGACGTCATAATATGCTGCACAATAAGTTGTTCAAGTAATTCCCTCACTAAACAGATAACCTCCTTTTATGTACTCATAATGTCCATCTGACTGCAAATAAGTGATCGCGGTCTCTTTCAGCTTTCGTATTCCAGGTGTCTTAGTTTTCTCGAAAACAGCATGGGAGTGAAACTAACCTCTGGACAAGAGGAATGGTCATTTTCTAAAAGATGAATGAGCTTTCATTGTTGTTGGTGTAACAGATAAGACACCCTATTCAAAATTTTACAAAGAATGCCTTTCCATAAACAGCAAAAATGAAAAGGTCACAGGGGGAAGCAAATTCAATAGGATCTAACAGCATATATTTCTTTTTATCTGTAACAAGGATTGCTCATTTGCTTCATTTTTAATTTAAAACATTTTTTTTAAAGAAAAAGTATTTAAAGGATTAAAAAATTAAAATACTAGCCTAAAATTTCGGCGCATAAGTGAAAAATTTATTTTTAGAGCGACGCATAAACGAAGGATGTTTATCATTATTTTCCTATCTATTGTACTGGGACCTATAAAAATCGTCGTATAAATGAAAAAGGTGCATAAAAGAGGTGGTGCATAAGTGAGAGATCACTGTAATTAATTAAGAAACACTTTTTTATACATTCTTTTCAATAATAGATTACGTTCAGAACAAGGTAACGACAGCGATCACGAAGTCAGTCCCACTGAAAATAATTTACAAGAAACGATATCAAGTCGCGACAAAGAGAAAGAGAAAAACTATGAGGCGCGGAAACGAACATGCGAGATCACGATATATATTCTCAAAACTATGTTTCTGATTCTACCACTCATCAATCAAGGCCATTTCAACATAGCGAAACGAACATCGTCTTCCACAGCGCGAGTCGGTATCAGTTGCAAAAAGATACTTGCGCGTCTTATATCGATACATCGTTTTGCGCTCGTCGTCTTTAGTCTGCGGCTTAAAACAGATTTCTGATACATCAGAAATCCGATGCATCAGATTTCTGATGCATCGCCTGAAACGAAAGTTGCGGTATCGTCTTGCTGATATATGCGTTAAATCGATATGTTGCGATACATCGATTTATAACCCAGTCCTACTTTTTAGACTAGAGTAATAATGTAAGGATAAACCTGAAACAGCATTATGTTGTTGTCACGTTAATGTTATTGTCACGAGAAAAGATATTTTCTGAAAAAAATAACTGGATGGAAATATGCAACTTGGCTACCACTCAATTTGTCTTATTGACGCAAACTGTAGGAAGGAATTTCGTCACACGATATCACGTGATAAGTAAGCGAACGTATTAATCTGTATTTTACGGTAGTTTGTGTAATGCTTACATAATCTCTCTTGTTGCTCGAATGGCACTCGAAACGTCGGAACCAGTATCAGCAAAACGGCTGCTCTTGTGAAGTGTTCGAGAATAGCAGTTATTAAGTGTACAGAGACTGAACTACCAAGCAGAAAACCAGGTCTCAACGTCGAGCTTGTGGTCGTCACAGCTACTGAATACTCGAGCTGAAAGGAGACTTGCCAGAGTTGTCCAGTCCAACAGAAGAGCAACAGTGCATCAAATAGTAGGAAATCTTAATGAAGGTGTAACTGCGAACGTCTCAGAATGAACTATGCGCCGCACATTACACTGTATAGGCTATGGGAGCAGATGACCGGCTCGAAAGGCTCTACTGCCAGACTTGAACAAGAGCAGACGTCTCCAGTTTGCAAAGGAGAATAAGGATTGGACAGTAGATGACTGGAAAAAGGTCAGGTGGTCTGATGAATCGCGTTTTCAATTACATCGTGCAGACGGCAGGGTTCGGATATGGCGAAAACAGCTCAAAAGCATGGACCTCCATCTACAAAGCCACAACACTTCAAGATGGCGGAGACAATGTTATTGTTTGGGGGATCTTTTCTTGGCATTTCATGGGTCGTTTTATTCCGGGAAGGGTCGTTTTATTAATGGTGTACCCCGCCGGGGATGGATACTTTCAGCAAGACAATGCTCCTTGTCATACAGCTCATATTGTCATCAGATGGTTAAAAGAACATGTCGGTGACTTTACCTTGCTTCGTTGGCCCGCATAATTACCAGATCTCAATCCAGTTGAGAATTTGTGGGATGAGATCGAACAGGGGCATCAAACAGCTGGATCCAGGGCCATCCAATCTGGCGGAACTGAAAATTACAGCTTATCGGACATAGGGTCAAATTTCTCTTACCACTTACCAACATCTTATAGAATCTATGCCAAGACGAATTCGAACAGTATTAAAAGGTAGTCCAACAAGGTAGTTCAAATATATATACTACCCTACAATAATAGATGAGACACTTTCAGTTTTTGACATTTTTTTTTTTTGGAATTTCTCTTCTCAAGATATATTTAAAGGATTATTTTGTAACTTTAGAGGTGTTTAATTCATGCGATTTTTCATACTTAACAATAAGATTTAAAGCTTTCATTGGTTTAAAAGACCAGAAGATCGATAAAAAAATTTTTACCCTATCTAACATTTTCGCCTTACGTTTCTTTTTTTTCTTCTTTTTTTTTTTCTTTTTTTTTTCTATGACTTCCGCAAATATACGATATTGAACAAAATTTTGAAAAATTTAAAATCAATTGCAATATTGTTGATTTAAATGATTTAAAAAATTCTTTAAAAACCACGCAGGATATGAGTTTTTAACCTAGTTCTTTTATACTGTGCATGTGTAGTAAAAGTTTTTAAAAAAAATTATAATTTTGTAGAGAATCGTATTTAGCTACTAACGATAAACGCTTTATTGGTATGTCTTAAAAAATTATGAAGTTTCAAACAATTTTCTAAATAGTTTTTGTATTTTTTAAAGAATCGATCAAAACGATAAGGGTTTATCCAAAACCGGCATTGTAGGGGATTACTCTCCCCCCATCAGATTATGCTTTCTTTCTCTATGCTATCAAAGTTTAGTTTCTGGGCGAATATATATATATATATATANTTTATATATATATATATATACAGAGAGAGAGAGAGAGAGAGAGAGACAAAATATACAAAATATAGAGAAAACATGGAAAAATTACTGAATAATGAACAGAGAAGAAGAAGATTATTAAAATGAAATAAAAAAAAGATGTAATATCTTCATCAGCTCTCATAATTATATCCGCAAAATGGAGTGCTTTCTAATATTGTATCATTATAGCCAAAGCAAAATATATCGATACATCCCGCTTAAAATATAGTTTCGAAATTTATGGGGGGGGGGAAGCAGGAATATTAGAGATCGTAATTTAATATTTAAGGCAGTTAAAAACAAAAAACTTTATTGAAATCTGTTGAATCCTTGGTGAGGAAGGTGAGACTGAAAACCATAAGAAACCTGTTAGACTGCCTGATGGAATTTACTCATGTTTTCATTAGTTGCCTGTTTGGACATTTTCAGCTCTGTCTTCCTTAGTAGTGATTTTCTAGATTCCACGAACTTTTTGTTTTTTTTTCCTTTACTTAAATATTAATATGCTTTTAATGTGTAAACATGTCTGATTTCATTTCCGATAAGTATTGTTGAAATAAATATTACAAGCGGTCGCTTAGAAAAAAATCTACATAATTGAGTGAAAGAACTTTTTTATGGTAATATATGCTTTTTAAATTCGATATGTATTTAAACCTTTTTTTTTATTAATACTTTTAGTGCTGCTACACTTCCTGCTACAGTGAGATGTGCTGAAGAAGTGAACATGGTAAATAAATGTGTAACGCGTTTTGTCTTGCCATTAGGAATGGTAGTGCACATGAACGGAGGCACATTTTATATCACATTGTCTACTATTTTCTTAGCACAACTTGAAGGGATTGAACTTGGAGCTACTGAAACTATTATCGCTGCGTAAGTAGTTTTTGTATTAAAAAAATGATTAAACAATTTGAAGATAAAGCACATTATAAAGGAAAATGTATATAATATATCATAGAACCATACAACTAATGCAGGTAGTACCAAAAAATATCATTCTGAAATAAAACCATATTGAACTAAGATTTGAAAACAGAACTAATATAGTACCAAAAAAATATCATTCCAAAATAAAACAATATCAAACTTCCATTTGAAAACAGGACTAAAGTAGATAGTACCTAAAAATATCATTCTAAAATAAAACAATATCAAACTTATATTTAAAAACAAACTTAAGTAGATTGTACCAAGCAATGTCATTCCAAAATAAAACAATATCAAACTTATATTTGAAAACAGAACTAATGTAGATAGTACCTAAAAATATCATTCTAAAATAAAACAATATCAAACTTACATTTAAAAACAAACTTAAGTATATAGTACCAAGCAATATCATTCTAAAATTAAACAATATTGAACTTCTATTTGAAAACAGGACTAAAGTAGATAGTACTAAAAAATATCATGCAAAATTTTTTTAAGAATAATAAAATTATTTTTGCCTGATTTAACAAAATCAGAAACGTTAATGCGTTTTGTACGTTGGCTAGTTTCTTTATTGCCCTTCGGATAAATCGTGGATCTGTGGACTTTGATATAATATATTCATTTTTTCGTGTTTTTTTAAATTGTTTTACGCTTTTGAAATATTCCAATTATAGTTTCTTTGATATATCTATTACGATTGCCTTATTTTAAAAGATTTAAGAAAATTAATTTCATGAATATCTAAATTCAATCAATTAGAAAGTTTAAAAGAAAAGAACACAAAATGAGTGTTGTCTTAAGAATAACATCTAATGATCCAAGGTACGGAGCCATTTTGTGCCTTCGACCGATTTTCTTTACTTTAGAAAACACTTTTTAAATAAAGTGCGTGGCGGAATTCGTTCACAAAATATTATGTCAACAGATAAACTTACAACGGAATTCTCACAAACTTTCTAAGTGATTGGAATTATTTCTTACTGCATAAAAGTAAATAAGACAAGTTATATTTTTAAGATTTCATTTTTTCCAAAACTATTTTAACGATTTCGTTCAAATTTTGTTGTTGTCTTATAAAACTACATTCTTTAAAATAGTGTATAAACAAACTATATACCTTGCAATTCACCATTGTTTTGATAATTATCAAATGAAATATAAAACAATTATTAAAAATTGGTTTCTGCATACTGCTATCTTTAGATAAGCTAATTTTATAATTGAGGGTATAAAGTTTCATTTCGCTTAAAAAAATCCTGAAGTATAGCGAAATATGGAAAAAAATAGCATTCAGGGGTTCAAACTTTCAACCGTTCTATACTCGAAACTATTGAGACCCTATAGATTGATATCCACCCTCCTTATTTTGAAGGTTAAGAATTCTAGTTCGTATAAAAAGAAGGCATGTTTATCGTTAGACAGTATGGTTTTGTATCCGAACTATAGTAATTTAAAATATCGTCTGCAATTATTAATTAGCATATTTAAATTTAGGTCTTGAAACCACATGATTGAGTCTTAGAACTTTAAAATCTGATCACTTCCTCAAAAGTTATGGTTGGCGAACTTGGCTTATCGCCAGTACCGTCTTTATGCATGGGTACACACGGGTATTGCCCGGGGGCCCCATTCACTTAGGGGGCACTTGAGAATCTTGGTTTTTATAAATTGTATTGAAAAAAGTTAAGAATAAACAGCATTTCCTTATATATATATTTAAAATAAGTATATTCTATTGTAAAAAAAGTGTGAATTTTTTTCTGCAAATAGTAAGTAATTATCATGCAAGCATCAGTATTTTGAATAGTTTACCATCAAGAAAACTTAAAAAGAAAACCGAAATCTATTTTTTTACACGCCAATGAAAATTTTAGGTACTTGGGTATTGAAAGATGTTTTAATAACTGTTTAGTTAGACAAAATAATTCATACTTTTTGAATTTTCTTAAATTTGTTAAACCTTTATGTTTATTTAATATAATTATTTTAATTAACTTCCATGGTTTCGAAAATTATTTTATTATTTAATGATTACAATAGGTTAGCATCTCAACTGTTTTTTTTTTTAAATTATGCATATTTTAAAAATGTTTTATTTGAAATTGAGGCAAACAAAATGTGTTTAAATTTGCTAAAATTATTAAATCATATCCTAAAAATGATTTATTTTATGTATGTAAAGTTTCTTAAGTTCGTTTTTAAAAATTATAGCATGTTATAAGGGTCTAAAAAAAGTTTGTGTCCGGGGACCCTGCATGTTATCAAGACATTATCACATTGACATTAGAAACAACAACAACATATCTGTTAAGAGTTTTGATAACTTTGATACATAGCAAATTTTTGTTGTTGTTTTTTCACAGCGTTAGTAATATATGTTTAAAAATAATAGAGCACTACAGATATATCATATGATATATTAAAAGCAATGTAAAAACATTTAAATGCTAAATGAATGCATAATTATTGAACAATAAATTAGTTTATAGAAATGCATGCCAGTTTTATTCTATTCATTTTCCTATGAAATTTCCAGTTTAGAACTTTCTCGATAGAATTGAGCGCGTTATTTTCATGAACGTTATTTTTCTATCGTCTTTTGATATAGAAAAACAACGTTTCAACTAACAACCGCGACACTTTTTTTACGCTTGGAAGGTATCAAATCTATTGAGAAAGTTTCAGACTAGATTTTATAGGTACTTGTATTTCTATAAACTAATTTATTGTTAAATAGTTATACATTCATTTAATGTTAAATTAAATGTTTTTATATTGTTTTTAATATAAAGTACGATTTATCACTATCTTCACATTATTTTTTAACATAGATTTCTTATCAAAAATTAGCGAAATTTCTTGTAGAATTGCAATAATAAAAGTAAATGATGAATGGAAATTCTTGTTAGTATTAAGGATGAGTAAGACTTAGAAATATTGTAATATTTCTTTTTTTCTCTTATTATTTTAGAATGACATCTGTTCTACTGTTCATTGCCGCACCTGCCACGGCAGGTGGCGGCAATCCGGTATACTTGTTGACAGTCATGGCTGCTGTAGGCATTAACAAGCCTCAATATGTCTCTCTGTTTTTGTCCATGGAATGGCTCATGTAAGTATTTAATTTATAAAAAACGAATAAAAGCTTCGATAGAAATAAATTATCAAATTAAATGATGCAAAATGTTTACAATTTTTGTGCTATTTTAAAGCGAAGACATTAAATAGCACAGAAATGTTATTATGCAGTACAGAACCCATTATCCGGAAATCAGAAAACCAGAAAACCGGAACGAAATTCGATAAATTTTCCCGCAATTTTTTTTTAAGAAAAATTTTTTCCTCATAAGATTTTAGGATTTTTCTTTCTTTTTTGAAAGATGTTTACCTTACCATCATTTCAGAAATAATCATTAGTGCATTACCTCATCGTTTTTTCTTATTTTTAAGATTATTTCCAAAAAAAAAATTCTCTTTTAGTTGGGTTTAACACTAAAAAAACGGCTTTTTGTAGCGATTCAGAAAACCGGAAAAATCAGTTATCCGGAATAGCGATAGTCCCGATCGTTCCGGATAATCGGTTCTCTACTGTATTTCATAAACCTTAAGAGACATTATCATTATTATTATTTCCTAAACATAAGAGACATTATAAACATTAATAAAATATATGTTCATGAAAAGTTCAGGTTAATAAACAAAAAAACTTATTTTTCAAGTATCAACTCGGTGTTTCAGGAAATGTGTTCTGTGGAACACTAGGGTTCCGTTAAAAGAATACGGAAGCTCCGAAAATTAGAATTTTCTTTTTACAAAAAATAATACTTATATCCTTCAAAAATTCATAATTTATTAAATATTTCATTTGTTTATATAAACTTATTTATGTAAAATGCTAATTGAAAAAAAGTAGCAAAATTTTAAAAAAAATTCCAAAAAGGGAACCTGGACTCGAACCTCAGCAATGGCTAATCGAAACGAATTTCGCAGCCGCTTTGCACCAACCACAGTGTTAACGTAAAATATCCTCAGTGGTAAATAGATCATGGGTAAGAGTCCCCTTGCCTTGAAGCTAACCGTGGGAAGTTTTCCTCTCCATATAACGCAAAAGCGGGTTAGTCCCATTAAAACGTCCTCCTAGAAAGTAAATTTCTCTCAATACTTAATCCAGATGTTCCATTGTTTTCCGGATAGGGTTCAAAATTACAAGGTTACGGAGTCGGACATTGGTAATCCTAAGAATAGGGACATTGTCGGATATTGATAATCGTTGAACAGCCAACCCAAATTGGATTGACTGTTCAACTAAGGTTATAAAACATAAAATAAAAGAAATAAAAAAAAGTCAGAACATGGAATGGAACATAGACATAAATGCCTTCCAAAAAGAAATGCATGATTTTCAAATATAAAACAACTTTTAACTTTAATTTGCATAATGTTTAGATGTATTTTATTCTATTTGTTTCATAAATGTATAACACCTAACATTTAACGAGAAACATGTTTCATTTGTAGGGAACGATTTCGAACTGTTATGAACGTAGTGGCTGATAGCTATGTAGCGGCTTTCGTTGAAAAACTATGTCAAAAGAGACTTCCACTAGATTTAGAAAACGTTGAGTACCCATCACCAGTCATTGATGGATATAACCAACCATCACCGCCAGTGAGCATTGTTGTAGAACCTCCATCACCCCATGAACATGCAAACATATGTAGATGTTGTGGAAGTAGAGTAGATGTAGCCTGATTTTGCCCATATTGTGCACTCAAGACGCATCACGATGTATCTCCAGAAATATGAAGAAACTACGCCTTTTCGTAGTCGCGCAGCTATTTTTCTAAAGTTATACGAAGTTCATATAGTAAAATTCTAAAACAAGTAAAATTACTGATATTTTACGAGCTGTTTTTGCATAAAAATAAATTGATTTTAAATCCATTTAATTTTGTTATCAGAATTTACAAAAATTGAGAAAAAGTTTGAGTTTAATCATCGTTGTTCAATCACTGATAAACGAAGGTGGTCTAAACCACCAAAATGAGGTAAAATTTAGCATGTTTCTGGCTCTATGGAAACACCAAAACACTCGGTAATTTTTATCGAGACGCGTTGGTAATGATTATGATAAAATTAACAATGAAATACGGTTTTATTGCAATGCTGTTGGTAATAAAGATTGTAAAATTTCGTAATTTTTTCATGATACTTTAGAGCATGGCATAGAAACTTTTCAATTTTCTAATTTTCATTAAGTGTATTGTAATAAGAGCTATTATTTTTAAAACCATACTTTTCTATAAATCGTTACCATATGTACAGAAAAATATTTAAAATAATGGTTTAAATGGCATATATTTTAGTTTTTATTAATAGCATTATGCTTCTTTTTTTCCCAGAAATGTCAGTATCATCATATAGTATGGTAATTTTACCAGATTTTTTCCCCTGTCAATGAATTAGTGTTTTTCGCTATAGGTAATGGTTTTGCCTGATATACCCCCAAAAAATAAATTATAATAAAACGCCAAAAAAAAGTTAACAAACTAAAAAGACTCATCTGAAAATAAGAATGCTATAAGACAGGGATTTCGAGTTTTTCGTAATACATGCTTACTGTAATTCAGTAACCAGTACCATAAACCATACAAATTAATTTGTAGTAGTTGAATTTCTATTTGTAACATTAATTTGATGGATTGCCAAAAAGTATACAAACGCACACGAAATAAAATCAAAAGAGTTGGGAATGACGATATAGCAAAATTTAGAAAGTTTATCTTAAAGCACTTTTTTAAAGAGAATACCTTATTCAAACTTAAAAATGAAATCTTAAAAGAAAATGAAACAAAATGCTAAATGTGATTAATTTTTGCTTTGTTATGAAAAAAAATTTTGATGTGATCAAATCAAAATCATTTAGTACCAAAAAATTTTTAAACAAAAAATTTGTAGGTAAAATTTTTTTGCTGATTTAAACATATTTCTTAATATTTAATCTTTGTTTTGACTTAGATATACGTCCTTTAATAGCCATATCATCATTAATCACTGATTAATTATTTGTGAATAGGGGCTTTAGAAAAAACTATACGATTTACATAAAATTGCACAATTCTTCATTCGAATTACTTTTAAACCAAGCAAAATTTAAGTTATAAATTCAAGATAGCTATTATTCACCCTATTTATTCACTGTAAACAGCAATTCAACCTTAGTTTACAAGCTCGACTGTAATTGCGGTCATGAAAAACGAAATATTTTTGCCATATTATTAAACAAAAAGCCATATACATCTGAATGTTGAAATGCTTAATTTTCTATTTATTCGAAAGATTTTGTTTATGATTGCAACACAGTTTCTATTTCTTTCTAAATTATGAGGTTTTGTCCGAGTATGAAACAGAGAAGAAATGAACCCGGTTGTTCGTTTGCTACACAAAGTTTTGATTCCTCAAAATCTTGTCAATTAAATCCTTTTTTTTCTACTGTTTCATTTTTAGCGACGATTTCTAAGTTATGCAGCAAATGATGAACTACTAATTTTCAAAACATGACCCATTTTTTGAAGAAAAATGACAGAAAAAAAATTATCCTTTTCATTTCTCAGCTGTTATAATATTTTTTACAACAGTTTCGAAGTCAGGTAATAAATAATTAAGTACTAATTTTCGAAAGAAAAACTATTTTTCGAGGGGGAAATGACAAAAAAATTTGTTCAAAATAATGAGGATTATTGGATGCAGAATTTAAGGCAACAATACATCTTATGTAATAAAGAAATCACTTGTAAATATATGACTTCTTGTGCACTATGTTATTTGAAATGGCAAATAAAAGATGCTTAAATTTGCTACTCGAAATCGTCATTGTGTATATAATATTATATATTGAAAATATATGTGCATTCATGACTTTTTTTTTTCATTTGTATGTAATCAATAAAAATATGTTATATAGATTCATCTAGTTTTTTTCGATTGACTGGCTTTTTAGTTTTTTACTTATTGCTTACTAGTATCTCTGCCGACCGGCCTGTGTAGGGGGCAGGGAACTGACCTAGCATCCGAAAGGTCCTGGGTTCGAATCCCGGGCAAGGCATGGATGTTTCTTTCTCTCTCTGTGTGCTCTATGTCCTTTCTCATTTGTGTGTGAATGTGACCTGCCCTATAAACGGGTTGTGGCTGTGTGTTTGGCGTGGCAGAAGTCGAATTCCTGGCCATAGATGGCGCCACTGAAAAACGGGAACAATCGTACCCCCACTGCCTAAGCAGGTATACGACAAAAAAAAACTAGTATCTCTTTAATATTGATATTAGTTAGTATTACCTACCGATCAGGCCGAGATAGCCTGGTCGGTAGGGCTCTGGTTCCATGTCCGATAGCTCGTGGGTTCGAGCCCTGCCGGCCGAAGAGTCTCCGTGTAGTAAATAGTGACTGATGCACGTCAAATCTGTCGAGTCGCAAAGTCCTCCATGTTCCCATAACAAATCAATACCTCTGGGGGTACTAAATTGGAGATTGATCGTTCTCTGATTCAGGTCAAAATTACGATCTGTGGATGAATGAATGGATGTATCAATGGTTCCGTCCTATAAACGGGTGTGTCGTATGGGTGTGGCAGAAGTCGAATTCTTGACCATGTATGGCGCCATTGGAAAACAAGAACAATCGCATCCCGCTGCCTTAACAGGCATACGTCAACAACAACAACAGTTAGTATTTAACTCTGCATAAATTATCATCATCATCACTTTTCTTAAACCATTCTTAAAGTTAAGTATACATAAAACTTTATTCGCTATAAAATTTAATAACAATTAAAAACTTTACTTCTCGTATTATGGGAAAAATTTTTTAATTTTATCTGATTTGTGTTTGGATAAAAACGACAGTTCATAAAACATATTAAACCATTAAATAAATTGTCCCAAGAAACTGAAATGGTAAAATGTTACCTGATTAAACTTCATTTGCTTTAAAGCTATATAAATAGGAAATAACAGTCCTCTCTTTAAAATAGGTGCCTATTTTCAAGACTGAGTAACTTCCCTGCCACTTCTTGTTTTGTTTTTCATTTTTCTTTTCTCCTCCCTCTACTGTTTCTTTTCTTGTTTTATTTCTCCTCTTTCTTTTCCATTTTTTCATTGACACATTTACTTTTGATATTTCGAAGGACTTTAGTTCCTTTTCATTCACGCCTGGAAAGTTTTGAAGATGGGCGCCTATTTTTGAGCGCTTGAAACATGTCGACTGTTATTTCCAATTTATATATTTTTGAAGGGACTGTATTCAAGTCATATCAAACCATTCTATCCACCGGTCCGCTGATTAATATTGGTATTAAAATTAATAAAAATTTTATTTATATTTAATTAGATTTAAGCTTAAAATATTTTTCATTGAAGAGATGTATATATTTAGAAACAAACTTTCCTAATTTTGTGTGAGCGTTAAAATTATATGAAAACTTCAAAATATTAACCTTACCAATCTACGATAAAGCACTGAAATATTTTACAGATGCTTCGTATAAACAGATTTGAGAAATACTGTATCTGTCAATGTAAATTTTGTAAAATATGAATCTTTATACATTCATTTAAAAAGTATGTATAATAAAATATCTTTACATATGTATAAACAAATGTACAATTATTTAATAAAATCGTTCATTAATTGTATATCTGAAAAACAAGGTCTGGCACTTTTTTGAGTTAAGAGTCCTAAGTTTTATAATAGTTTTAGCTTGCAAAGAAAGTAATTTTCGCTTTTTTTTAGTGAAAATGAAGGCAATTTTCAATGAATAACCATTTTATCAAATTATAAGGTTAGTGTGCCTAAATGCGACACAATTTCGTATACGTTTGACCCTTTTTAAGTCAAGATTGACCTTTTTTAGTTTTTTTCACTGAAAATGGCAAGTGTTACGATTTCAGTTCTAAACAAACGTTTTTTGCTGTAATTGAATTATTATCTACAACTTGAGCAAATATATTTCAGTGTCACATTTGGGGCAATTTTGTTTCATTTAAGGTAACTAGTTCTTAAATGCGACACTCAAATTACCAGTGCATCTTTACAACGTTTTTATTCACGTGCATTTTGTCTCTAAGAATAAAACCTTAGTATCAAAATTTTAAATCTTCAGCAACTAACAGAATGCGGCATGCCCGTATACAATACAAGTTTAAATCGTTTCATTATTATAGTAAGCAGCATTTATCGTCATTTTATCTCAAAACTGAGTTTATAGGCGATGAAAATTTCGAACATTTTAAATCCTACTAGAGAACTTAAAATCAAACTGGAGCTCTGACCTGGATGACTACGCAAGTTCTCATAGTTTCTTGATTGCTACTTAAAAAATTTATCGTGATATCATTGTCGAAAGAATTTATCGCCATTCAAAACTATATCTACTTTAAAATTGAACTCGACAATTTTAATTTCAACTCTATGTTGGATCACATAGCAAGCTTCAATCATTTTCTGATCATCACAGAATCGTCATTTAAAATTCCGAATAGTCTATGTCTAGCTTGAGTACTTAAAATACAACTGCAAGAGTTTTTCTCTGAATGACTATACATGTTATGACTATTCATGACTATACATCCTTTATTATACACGTATCATCATTGATTATACAAGTATCGCAGCTTTTTTTTAAAACTACAGGGAGAATTTATCCCAATATTATAGACGATAGGAATTTATCATCAAACTAAGATATGAAAATTGGCTAGAACTCCACAATTTTTTGGAGGAATCAGGCTCTAAATGCGTCAACTCCTCTAATGGCTCTAAATGCAACAACAAATGGTTCTAAATGCAGGCTCTAATTGCAACAACTCCACTAAATCTAATACAGGTGATCTTTTCCAATTTTTTTCTTGTAGTATTATGTGAAGATGGTCAAGACAGTGCTGTGGACGCATAACCTGTGACCTCTATTCTGGAATAGTGACCCCCATTTCACGGAAAAACGTCGCATTTAAGTTTGGTGGGGTTGGGTGAGCAGGAAAATAAATTGTGAAACTGTTACGAGAAAATGTTTCAAATGTGGTGAAATAAATCAAGATATGCTTCAGAGGCCCGAAATTTTCATTCTATCGCACTTACGGATAAATCATGAATTAGGATTTAAAGTAACTGAACGTTGTTGCATTTAGGCCCATTGACCTTATATTGCCATTATATATACTAGGCAAATCTACCTTATTAGGCACATTGACCTAATAATTTTTTTTTGCTGGAAAAAAAACTAATTCTGATGATGTTTGATCTCCTTATTTGAAGGAAGGATTTTACCGTCTAAAAATTTTGTATTTTCAAGAGCATTCTTTCGGACAACACACTTCTGGTCCCCACTGATGACGTGCTTCAAAAATGGATAATTTTCTTGACGTTTGAGAGGCAAATCACAGACAAAACGCGGTGGCACAAATTTCTTTCCTAAGAACATTGAGAACCCATATGTCGAGCATTGAGATTAAACCTTTAGGCTTTTCAAATAATCTTGATTGAACGAATTCAATCAATTAAATCTCTCAGAAATCTCACGAGTTTTAATTTGCAAGTTTCTACCACTAAATGGCTTTATAGGGTCTTTACCAGCTCAAACTGGCGTGGTGCCTCTCCGTAGATCTGAATCAAAAATTTGCGGAATCGAATTTTCACAAACTAGCTTTGGCACTGGTTTACTTATCTGGTTACATCTTCATCATACACATCGGATAATTTATTTCTTGCTTTAAAAGTATTTTTCCCTTTTTGATGGTAAAAAAGTAAAATCTATTGAAAATTCTGTTTTTAACTCTCCATATTTGAAGGAGCGCCAACCGAAAACAACTGCGTTGAATCACTCGAACTTTTTGACACACAAGCCTTGCTATATCAGCTGCCAAAATATATAAAGATTATGAGGGTTAAGTGTGAAGTTGGCTGTGAAAAAATATAATTAAGTTCGCTGTTGGTAATAAATAATTCACTGTATCATGAATTTATTTTTTATATTAATCTAAAATGCGTTTTGATTGTTTTTAAATTATTGCCTAACATCGATAGCCTTTAGAAACTTCTTTTTAAAGTCAAAAAAAAATAACAGATACTAATTACAAATTAATTTTATTAGGTTATTGCAGAGATTATTTTATTGTCTTCAAGAAGTGTCCTTGATGATACAAGTTTTTTTTAAACATTTATTTTCGTAAGCGAATTTAATTTTTCAATAATTGCAATATTTTATTTAATCTTTTTTAAAACTTAAAATAGTGCATTTTAGTTTACAAAAAAAGCATCCAGTTAAGATTTGAATGTGATTTGTTTCAATCTAGTTTTAATTCATGATTAAAAATATTTAAAATTAATTGGTTTTTAATTGTTTGTATTCAAAAAACTTTGTTTTCTTGTACTGGTCAGAACAAAATCATAATGTCTTAATCTATATAAATGAAACTTTAAATTATGAATAATAAAAATAAAACTTTTATGAACTTGAACGCTTTTTTTTTACATCATTTCAGAATTAAATGCTTAGAGAATGTTAAACTTCTAAGTCGTTTCTCTTCTAAAGGCTCTGTTATCTCAAATGTGAACCGAAACGTGAACTTTATCCTTAAGATAAAGTAGAATAGTCTGACGCTTAATATAAATAATTACATTCACTTTTGGAGTTCTGATACTTTATTATATCAGCGGAGTTTCGATACTTTATTTAAAAATGGATGAATTTGTGTTCACTTGGAAAATAGAGAACTTTAATTTGGCTGTGAATAAAAAAGGCGAATCCGTCTCCAGTCCAGAATTTATAAATGACTCGTTGGAGAAAACTAATTGGTTCCTTCAAATCTACCCTTATGGAGAAACTGATGATACTTATATTGGGTTGTACTTAAATCGTTCGCAAAGTGACACTGGACCAACTAACATTGCAATCAACTATACATTTTCAATAGTAAAAGCCGATGGCAGCGAAGAACCGTATAAAATGTTTGAAAATGTCAACTTTACGCTATCTAAGAGGGACGGTTGTAAAGAATTCAAAAGAAGAGATGACATTATGAAAGGTATTAAAATTTACCTCCCAAAACACACTTTTACTGTTCGATGTTATATACAGAGATGTGCTGCAACTCCGTCTGCATCAAAAAACAAAGAAACTGTCAAAAACTTAGCGATGTTTTTATTTAATGAAAAAACTGATTCTGAGTTACCTGCGGAAGTGTACTCTGTAGCAGATGGTGCTCTGAAAGAAGTGAAAGACAAAATTTGTCCATTTCCAAATCAGTGCACTGCTCGTACTAGAGTCCGCCTTGAAAAAAGGACTTTTATTTGGAATATCGAGAACTTTTCCCAGTTAAAAAAGAATCAAAAGGTATTTTTGCCTGTCATTTCAGCATCGAAGTTGACGCCATCGTTTTTGATGACACTATATTTGGCAGATGAATCAGCATCTGATCAGCACATTCAGATTGAAATAAAGAAAAAGAAAGATTTTACTTCTGTTTCAACTATAGGCTATGGCGGAATAACAGTCCTAAAGCACAAAAGTAGGCCATCCGATTTCAACTGTGCTATTCATTTCTTCGAAGCTCAGAAAAACGATCCAGTTTGGCAGTTCCCGCCAATAATAAAAAGAAGTAAACTACTCGGAGAGAGAGAAGAATATCTACGAAATGACACCTTGTCTCTGAAATGCCAGTTTGCCCTATCAGATGGAGCAACTCTGCATCAAATTGAAGATACCAGCTACTGGTCAGCAGAAATAGATGATGCTGAAAAAGAATTGGAATCCTTGTTGAACTTGAGAGAAGATTTTCTTAGTCTAAGTACTGATCCTAAACTGTCCGACATAACCTTAATGATTGGAAAAGAGAAGTTTCCAGCCCACAAAGCTGTGCTGTCTGCTAGATCGGCTGTTTTCAAGGCCATGTTTGAGCGAGACATGGCAGAAAAGGAAAGTGGGGTGGTGAAGCTGACTGATCTTGATGCCGATACCTTAACGAGAATGTTGAGGTTTATATATAGTGGATGCGTGGAAGACCTCAACTGTGAAATTGCAGCTAATTTGTATTCTGCAGCTGACAAGTATCAGTGCCTTAATCTTAAGGAAGAATGTGCCTCATTTCTGAAAACAAACCTATCTGTTGCAAATGTCTGTGACGTTATATATATTGCCGACATGCATCAAGATGAGGATCTAAAAGCTGCAGGGTGTGAATTTATTACACTCCACGGTGCTGAAACTTTGCGTTCAGAGGAGTGGAAAATGTTTTTAAAGAATAAAACTCAATTGGCTGCAGAAACTTTGAACAATATTGGCTTACGTTATATGGTTTGATTTATAGAACACCAACTTCTATTTTTATTTGCAAATTCTTTAGCTTTATACTTTGATTATATTCACTAAAAATTCTTGAAGTTCATTTTTTAAAATTATGCACAGAAAAAAATTCTGGTAAAACTACCGTACTGTGTAGAAATAACATTTCTGGTAAAAACAACAACTACGGTTAATAAAACCAAAATATACTGTATTTAAATCAATCATTTGGTAAATTTTTCCAATCATATGGTAAAGGTTTACAGAGATTTCTGATTTTCAAAATTATGGTTCTTATGTTATACACATTTTAGTACACATATATTATAAAATACAAAATTAAAAAAAATATTTGACCATATAGATTGTTTTAACTCCATGTTTAAAGATAATGATCATGCCATGCTTAAAGATTATTTAATATTATGCCATACTTTAACATTTTATGGCATGCTTAAGATGATAAAATTATCATATTTTACCACATTTATCAAATTTTATCACATCATGGAATTCTATAATTTTTTTTGTTGTTAATTTTACCAAAACCAATACCAAATCGTTCAATAAAAATTATCAAGTTGTTTGGTATTCTCCTCCAGTCAGAACCACGGCAAGTTTTACCATATTACTTTTGACCATACTTTTTTTCTCTATGCGTGCATTCAATTTAAAATTGATTTCTAGAAAGAGCAAAAATTGCTTTCTTTCTTATTAGTTAGAATATAAATTTAAATGTCTTCCATAATTTAGCCTACATTTGTGGACAAATGCATGATAATATAATTAGTTGTTCATCAGTGTCTTGCACAGCATTAAAAATATACTTTTGCACATTGCCATTCTTAATTTCAATAAATCTTTAAATCACTTAGTATTCATAAAAAATTTCTTACACTAAAAAGCAATAACAATCCCAAATTTTTTCAAATCAAAAATATTTGGATGCGGACATACAATGGTATCAGTTATCATTATTTTGTCCACATCATATGTATATAAAATTATATATTGAGTTAAATTGCTGGGCATAAATAACGTGTTTGTTTTAACTCAATATCATTGCTTATTTTCAAAATAATTCTTATTTAATTGCTACATTTCAAAGCTCATCTAGGGATTTTCGAAATGAATCAAAAGACAATCAATAAACGACTAATATGTGTGCACTGAAATAAATATGCAAGAATATTATTTTTACAAACTTAAAATTATTTTGAAGTCTCACTTAACTCCATTATATTCTGAATACTTTTAAAATTAAAGAATACCTTGATTCTTACTTCATAATAAAATAATATTATAACCCGTTTATGTTTGATGTTATTTAAATTACAGCAATATCAATTTTTCATTTCTTGGTAACAAATAATACAAAAGCTGCCCCAGATGAACATTATACCAGATAGTATCAATTCCTGCATTCACAAAATAAAACATATTAATATTTCGTACGAATATTTTTCTCATTAAATATTTTCTTCTTACATTTCATTAATTTCTTTTATTTTTTTCTGTCTTTTTTTCATGTTATCACTAAAGTATTTAAAAAATATATATAATTTACTTTAATTAGATGAAATTTTTTTTAAAGTACTTTTTACGCATTTATCAGTTTATTTTCTTCTAAGTTTCATTTCTTCAGGATATTTATTAATAAAATCCTTCTATTCGCTATTATTATTTTTTTAAGTGTTGCTGCATAGAGCAGGTGGTTCCCAAATGGTGTTCCACGGAACCCTAAGGTTCCTTGGATGCTGACACAGCCATTCCAAGACATAAGACTTTTTTGCAATCTGCAAAAACCTCTAATGTAAACGTAGCAGGAACATCTTCATTCCGTATAAGTAAGTGGTTTAGTCAAGCTGGTAAATTACAAGCGATTGCAAAAAGATTCCCGTTAAAATCATGGGGTGAGCTTTCGTCTCCTGTTTCTCGGGTGAACTATATCTCGTCTAAACTATTTGTAGCATAATGCAGAGAGCGAGAGAACTACATGTTGTGTATATATATATATATATATATATATATATTCAAATGAAGATAAAACAAAGGAAAATTATAGACATATGAAATGGGGGGGGGAATTATAATGAAAGAAAAATAGCAAACAACTGATTAAAAAAAAATGATGAAATTTTTTTAAAGAAACCGGAAAATAAAAGATATAATCTTTTCATCAGCCTACACGATTATATCCGCAAAAAAGAGTGCTTTCTGATATTGTATCAATATAGCCAAAGCAAAATATATTAATNAAGAAGTTATGTATTTAATTTTACCTCCAAAGTATTGGCCTTTTGTCAGTGTTACTACTTCCATTTCCTCTTTTTTACCGTCAACCTAAAAAGAAAAGAAAATCTCAATTAATCGTGCACATCTCAATGAAAACAAGGGCAAGAAATGAAATGCTAAAAGTGATGTGCTGTAGAGAGTATTAAACTTTTTCTTTTCCATCATTAATTTCACCATGATTTTAAATGAATAGTTAAATAAATCAGAAAAAAATTTAGATTAGTTTAGAATCTATCTGTAAAAATAATACATATATACATTGAATTTACAAGTGGTTCCTAACAGCTAAGAAATTGATAACAATACTAATAACAAGTATAGTTATAGAAAGTTTAATTTGTTTTAAATAATTATTTCCTTCTCTTGTAATCATAAAATAAAAGATAAGTAAAATCTCAATTATCCAATGTGTGTTAAAGCATTCTGACTCAAGTTTCTTCCTTATTACAACTGTTGTAATCCAAATACTGCTGTGAGAACTAGTCTGAAATTTGGCTACCTGGGAACAACAATAAAAAGAGAATACAAAAGTATCAATGTTTTATTTTCCAATTTCGTTATAGGTACCACTTATTACTCATAGTTTGATGTTAACACAGCAAAAAAGTTGACTTGAAAAAGGTCAGCCAATTATCTGATTATTACTATTTTATAACAAACGTTTTTTCTTGAGATTATCAGGGTCCTACTGTGATAAAGTATTTTAAAAAAGACCAATTTATTTTATCATTGCCAAATCAAAATATTGCGTATGCAATATTATACATATATGTATTTAATGTGAAAAAAATCTCTTAAAATTCAATAGCCAAACCTTTTTAATGCAGGGGAAAAAAGACAAAGTAACCAATAGTTGTGAAAAATTAGCAGGGATAGGCTAGATAAGAAGAGGTGGGAGCTAGAGGAAACAGCCTCCTGGCACAGCTTCGGAATGGTTCCAAATTCATGTTATATAATTACAAATGATACTCAGAAAAAATTCATTTTTTCAAAATTCACTCTTGATGTCATTACCCACCCCATTCTGGATTCATCACAATATTTATCATAAATATATCTTTACATTTAATTTAATATATCTCATAAATAAGCAATGAATGAAAATATTCATCTAACCTATTTTGTGGCACGTACTGCATTTGGAAAGAGTTCTAACAACGTCCTTAAAATACAAAGTGTTTTTAAAAATACAGATATCTGATGACCATTGCTAGTAAAATACAATTAGAGGTAAATACCAGTAGTTATCACAAAGATAATTTATTGTCTTATCAAACTTACTGAGAATTTAATTAACAATACATTTATATATATATATATATATGTATGTATGTATGTATATAGTGTGGACACTTGTGAACCTAAGTCGCGGAGGCGAGCAACATTACCCACGCCGCACTGCCACAGATACCCGTTTATAGAATGGACTACATTAACACGTCAGACAACATACAGAGAGAGACATCCGTGCCCTTAGCGGGATTTGAACCCGCAGACATTGGCTTCGCAGTCAGACGCGCTAACCGCTCGACCGACTGGCCGGCATGTTGAATATATAATTTTTCGTATTTTCCGTGAAATTTAAAGAAAAAATACATAAAACGTAATAAGAGCGTTACGAACCATTTCCTATTTGATTTATCAAAAGTTTCGTTAACGAGTAAAATTATTCTCATTTATTTTTTTTTTAATAAATCCCACATTTCGAGTTCTTTAGGTTGATTTTTTTTTTCAATTTCAGAGGATTATTTTTCAAATCCTGGAAATTCTCCATTTCGTTATGATTAACATATTAACAAAATGTTCTTACATAAAACTAAAATGTTCCGTTTTTGTGGAAAGTATTGACGTTTAAAAGGAAATAAATAGTGATGAATGAAAATCAATTACTGGGGTATGCGAGTGGAGCGAGCTAGAAGCAGGCCCCGTGCCAATAAAAATCTGAAAATTCAATGCTTCATTCTTAAGAATCAACCGTCTTAGTGAGCCTAATTATATTCATGCTTCAGGTTTATCTATATAATTCATTGTTGAAAAAAGTTTTTTGAATCTAATCATTTTATTAAAAATAAATTCAGTTAACGGTTTTTCCTTCTGAAGTTTTAAAGATGACGATTTCAGGGGTCATACACTTCTTTATTGTTTTCAGCAAACGCTGCAAAAATATCTGGTAGGGACATGTTTTGTAGTTTTAAATTTATTGATTCGTCTCTTTCATCTCATTTTGAAAATGATCGATACCATTCATCAGCGATGCACAAATTAAATCATAGAAATTTTTGTAAATTTCAATGTCTGTGATAATGTCATTTTGAAAATGATTGACATTTTTGAACGAATACTATTCAATATTTCAAAAATTTCAACATTGAATATGCAACCTACTTTAAGAATTAATTTATTTTTACTTAATTATTTTATTTTTTATAACCATCGTTAAACAGCTTAACCAATTAGTTCACTCCTGCCAACATTCAACTTCGTAGCCTTGTAATTTTGAACCCACAATCCAGAAGACTATTGAGAGAAATTTTTAATTCCGTTGAGCACTTTTTGATGGAATCCACATTTGCGTTACATGGAGAAGAAAACATCGATTAGCCAAACTGGAAGGGGACTCTAACCCATGATCCGTCAACCACGGAGGCTATTTTACGTCAGCAGTGTAGTCGGTGCAAGCTAAGTGAGGAGTTCGTATCGATCAGTCATCACTGGGATTCGAACCCAGGTTACCTCATAGCAGGGAGAGAGCTTTATCCCCTGAGCCAGAATGGCTCAAAAATTATTTGATTAAGAAATTCTTGAATTCGATTGAAAATTTTAATTAAATATTGGAATGGGGAGATATTAACTAATTTAAATTGGTAATTTTTTTTGATGCAACAGTACAAAAAGACTGTTCTAAACAAAATCGTACTTAAATTTTTAAAAAAAGAGAAAATGCATTTATAATTCTTCCGTGATAAAATTTGCCTTCCTTGCATTTAAGTAAAGTAAATTATACTTTTAGTTTTTCGTTTGGCCTTTTTTAAAGTAGTCTGACACATCTATACGGTATGTTTGTATCAGATTACTGTGTTTGCAGCATTGTTAAATGATTATTTTTGAAAAATCTTTCTCCGATTTTTTTTTCTTTGCCCCACTACAATGGGCCTGCATTATATATTGCATTAAAATTTTTTTTAGTAATTGAGTTTCCAATAGTGTGTTAATAACCGTATTTGTTATGGTTCCAAGACAAGAAATCTCGTCTCTACCGAAAAATATTTCCTATTTAGAACTTTGATTTAATTCGTGTGAAAAAAAACTTTCTTTTTGCTATACTATCTGTTTATTCTAATTTGTTGCATGCGCTTTACTGTTATGTGTGATGATAATTTTCAGAACAATCGAAACGATTACAACAGAGATTAGAAGGCTCAACTATAATAAAATCTTTTTTTAGACAAATATGAATTAGAAATTACTTCACAGCGACAGAAGTGCAAATTCATAATGAACCCCACTTCAATATGTTTTTTTCCAGTAACTGGCACATTGATGCATAACTTTATTTTTGTATATCATTTACCGTAATAGACCCCACTTCAATATAACTTAGTAGAGGAATTTGTACCTTCATACACAGCATAATTTTTTATTTCAATAATCATAATGAACCCATTTTAATATAACTTAGTCCAGAAATTCGCACCTTGATACACAGCTTATTTTTTTTTATTTCCATAACCATAATGTATCCCACTTCGATATAACTTAGTCGTGGAATTTGATCCTCGATACACAGATTAATTTTTTTATTTAAATTATCATAATGGATACTTCAAAGTAACTTAGTCGAATAATTCATACATTGATACGTAACCTAATATTTTTATTTCAATTACCATAATAAATACCACTTCAGTATGACTTAGTCGAGAAATTCGCACCTTGATACATAGCTTTTTTTTAATTTCAATATTGGGCCCTACTTCATTATAATTAGTAGAGAAATTTGCAAACAACATTGACAAA